GGTTCTCTAATTGAAGTTTGGCGATGTGCCATCCTGGCGTGTTCCTGAATAGACCCAGACCCCGCCTCTCTGCCCTCCTGGGAACCCTGTTCATTAATCCGTGTTGATCGCTTTTCCCAGGCCCTGGGAAGATCGTTGCCTCTGGGTTAGGAGCTATCTTCCGTTTCGCCTTTCAGTTTGGGGGCTAGTGTTAAGCATGTGGGCTCTCAAGACAGGATGCCTGGGTTCAAATCTCTGCTGACCCCTCTTAGGGCTTTGAGACCTGGGACCTTCTGTGTGTCGGCTTCTGTATCTGTAAAACCAGGATTTTAGGATCTGCTTTGTAGGATTGGCATGAGGCTTAAACAAGTCCCCCATACATGTAAGCCCCTGTTACTAGTTTTAGTATTAATATTATCTCATCGATACTGTGACTTGTGTCATCAGTCATACTGTCCTCTTGGCACTGGCCGCCCCAAAGCTCGGTGTAAGATGTGTGGCTAAGGGCTTGTGAGTGGCCCCAGTGACGTTGTTTATGACTTGATGCTGGTGGTGGAGCCCCAGCCCTAATCCCCAGATAATCTCATCCTTATTTTTCCTCTCTGCTCTACTTTACCAGCTTTCTAACTTTCCCTTTTCTTCGATTTTACTGATTTAATTTCCGTGTAATCGGGCTGCACTGCGTGTTCTGGAACGTGCAGTCAGCATCCCTGTGCAGACGTCATCATGGTGGCTGCCCATTACCTGAGCAGTTGACACTTCCCTCTGTGTGACAACTCCTTTCTCCAACACAAGTTGTGCATTGTATTTACAGTTGCTAAGGAAAGCCTCTCTCAGGGTATGATGGGGGCATGTGGCAAGCTCACGTGTGTGTTTGTGTGTCATATACCCGTAAGAGAGAGAGTATGAGCGATGCAGACCGCCACCCCTCCCGCCTGCGTCACCTCTCTCCATCTTGTACATGACTTTGACTTAGTCCTGATTCTCCTCCACAAGAGAGAAATCATATACCTGGATTTGGTGGAAGAACATGGTCCAGCCATGAGATGTGGGGCGTTGGTCTACGTAAGACAATTCTAGAGGAGCCTTGGCAGTTTATTGCTGATCGCAGTCCTATGCACGATGACAAACTGTGTTATCCTGAAAATGGGGGAGACATATTTTTGGAAATGCTTCATTTCACTAGATTTCAGGGACTTTGCTGCCTCATCACATTCTTCACTGGCCCCAAACCCTCCCTGGTAGCTGGCCTCCGTGCTTTGCTCCCAGGGCCCCCGGGAGGAGCCCACAGCTGTGTTCCTGCACGAACACCCAGACTTTTCACCTCCTTACAAAGTACACTTTAACATTGCCAATTCTATATTGCAACTATATTTTTTACATTCACCTTTTTAAAAATTTTTAATGCAAGTATAATCAATTTACAATGCATGTTAGTTTCTGATGTACAGCATAGTGATTCAGATATATATGTATATATAATATATATATTATATATATATATATATAATATATATATATATATATTCCTTTTCACATTCTGTTTCATTGCAGGTTATCACAAGCCATAGAATATAGTTCCCTGTGCTCTGCAGTAGGACCTTGTTGTTTATTTAGTTTACACATAGCAGTTAGTATCTGCATACTCCCAGTTTGTCCCTCCCTTACGCCTTTTCCCCTCTGGTAACCACAAGTTTGTTTTCTGTGTCTGTGAGTCTGTTTCTGTTTTGTGAATAAGTTCATTTGTGTCTTTTTTTTTTTTTTAGATTTCACTTATGAGTGATATCATATGGTATTTTTCTTCATCATCTGAGCAGAATATCGATGCACAGCCAGGGCAGGTCCGGTGTTAACAGCAGGCATGCACACGCAGAGGCGGGGCTGGGGTCTGGGTTATGCTGTAACTATTTGCAATGAAATGAACTCCAGAGAGCCATTGCTATGGGAGGTATGGAGGGTAAGAAGAATTTAAGATCTAGTAATAGTTGATATTGGGGGACGTGCCTCACACTATGTTCGACTGGCTACTCCTGCTACCTAACTGATTTGCCAGAAATACCATGTGAGGAACATGTGAGCTCTGTTTCATAGACAAAGACACCGAGGTTCAGAGAGGCTAGATGATTTATCTACAGACATGAAGCCACCAGGGCACGAATGGGGAAGAGCAAGGCTTCTGAGCCCAGAACCTGTTCATTTTACCTCTACACACAGTTGCCTTGAAAACTACAGGCTTCCTTGTGCTTTCTTTAGTTGCTTATATCCCATTGTTGTTGACTTTAATCTCACTTTAATTTTGACAAACCATCTTTGCTAATTTTAGCGTCTTGCATCAGTTGAATGAAGGCCAGTGGTGGGTCTGAACATTGGTGTGCGGTGGGGTGTATCTTTTGGGCAACAGAAAATTCACAGTCTTTCCCATTTAACAGTAGTTCAGTCATCGTCTGTGGGTCCAGAAAGAACCAGAACATTCTTTTTATGTTTCTTTTCAAGTGATGAAAACAGCTTTCTGCAATGGGAAAATTGTATCCTTGCTCCAGTGTCGTATTAGTCTTTGGGGTTTGCTGTCAGCCACGCAGGCTCTCACCTCTATGCTGGGTTACACCTGCAGTACCAGCAGCTGCTCCCTAAGCCAGGTCTTTAACCAGCCTTGAACTGTGGGCCCCCGAAGCTGTTTCTCACAGTTTAAGGTTGTGCAGCAGGACTTTCCTCAGAGTTCTGCCTGTGTTTCCATTGGGGGGGGGGCTTTTCTGTCACAACGCATGGTTGTTTCTTTCTTTTCAATGTTGTTAATGCTACTGCTGTTTGGGCTTATTTCCACAGTGCTGAAGCTATTTTCTATGTGAAAATTAGGATTTGCAACCAAGGGAAGGTATTTCTCATAAATGTTTGCATAGTCTTCTAACACTTCTTACCCCAAATCGGAAAGTTGTTAGCATTCCGTGATTTCAACAAATCCGCTTTGTTTCTGAACTTGTTAAGGCTGGGTGAGAAGGAAGTATAAATTACCAGTTGTTGTCAAGGTGAAATATGGAGTTAATGCTCTATCTTTGTAATGAGTTTTCTGTTCCCAGAAGAATGTAATTTGTCAGTTCTGTTAAAAGTGTCACAGAAGACAGTGTCCAAGGCTACTCGTTTCACCGTCATGCCTGGAGCTAGTGACACAACCTCAGAAAGCTGGGGGACACCTCTTAAGAGGGTCTGAGGTCCCCGTCTCGGCCCTGTTGAACATTTTTTGTCAGTGATTTGGAGGCAGAAAGACTGGTTAATGAAATTTGCAGAAAACCCAAAGCTAGGTAGGATGACTAAGACCTGAATGATGAAATTGAGGTTCCAAAAGCTCTCGACAGGCTGGAGGAGGCGCTGCAAGCAGTGAGACGGGGTTTAGAAAGGATATGTGGACAGAAAGTCACTTGCCTTATTGCAGGAGTTGAAATAGCTGGATGGGAGTGGTAATGAGAAAGACGTGTGGGGTTCCAGGCTCCAGGAACTCAGCACAGACCAACACTCTGCCCAGACTGTTGAAGGACATGAGGTCCAGGGAGGTAGCCGGTTGAATTCAGGCTGCTGGACGGGGAGTTGTTGGCTTGGAAGAGAGCTGATGAACCTGACGGTGGTCAGAGAATTCCTGCCAGGATGGCGGACGTCTGAGAGCCTTCCAGTGGGAGGAAGGGAGGGGAGCAAGTTTGCCTGGAGAGGCAAGAATGTAGAGATTTAACAGCTCCTTTCTAATAGTCAGCTTTCCTATGTAGGTGCTGAGAGTTTTCACTGTTTCTTCATGGGGCAAAGCTAAGATAAATGGGCGTACACTTCAAGAAGCCGTGTTGGGGCCTTTTTACGGGGCATCGTCTACACGGTAGGTTTTGCTACATTCCGAGCGCCTCCCCTGTTCAGAAGCCGTCTGTCTGCCTTGCAGGTTGTAGAACTGATGTAAGCACTTGGATGGAAGTTGGGCAACGTGACCTTTCACATCTCTTTTACCTCTGAGTTTATGCAATTGCTGTTTTACCTTCTTGCCAGCAGGGGACACATTACAGCCACAGTGTAATTAAATTCTTGTATTTGTGTTTTCTTGACCAGACCCTTAACTCTCGTCTTTGGCAAGTGATTATAATTAATCTTTTTCATTAATGTCATTAATAGCATTATATAATGGGCAGTCGAATTTTCATGATAATTAAGATGATTGATATTATCACTCACTTTTGCAATGTGAAGTGCTGGGGAAGAGATTGGCTGCTGTAATAATTCAAAGTAGCAGGTGACATTTAAGAGGTTGTGGGGTGGGGCTTAAAATCATCAGTGTACTGCAGGATGCTGAAACAGTGGACCTGCTTTGCATCTAGTGCATTTTCATGTATTCTTTGTTTCTGTATTTCAGTAGCTTCATTTTTGACATCAAAATTAAGCAGATGTTTACCACATGTTTAGTTTTGGATTTCTTCTTGCCTTTGAAAATTGTGTGGACTGTAGGCAAATGTATAACCTCTGTAAATTGAAAACCTGTTTCTATGGTAGATTTAGAATAATGCTCAGAAAAATATTTTGTAAGCTATGTCTGCGGTCTCTACTGTGTTTTGTCCCCCACCATTGTGTGAATGCTGTGGTGAAAGCATTTCTTTTTCATTTTGGGGGGCAAATTATAATTTTTTTTTCTATTGAAAACACCTTGGACACCTAGCATGGTTCTGTTAAAGTTTTGAACACAAGATAAATTATTCCAAATTCATATGAATCTGAAAGATATGAATCATAAATTTGCTGAGGTCTTACTTTCCATTGGAGTATACAAACCAAATGTTGGTTTCCTTTTGAGAAGACAGCATAGGGCAGTGTAATACAACAGTGTTGGCAAGGCATGGCTGCTACTCAGCTAGGGCTTAGCAAGGATGCCGTGGGGGTCAGGACCCACCGCTCCTGAGGAAGAAGGCCACGCTGGATTTAGTTCAGCTTCAGGCAGCTTTACGGTTACTCGGACTTGCAGTCGTCATAGCTCATCCCGGAGATTTGGTTGTTACTAACATTACTCTTCCTTCTTTCACATTTTAGGTGGATGCCTCTTTGATGAGCCTTATAGCACCTGTGGATACAGCCAAGCTGAAGATGATGACTTCAATTGGGAGCAAGTGAACACCTTGACCAAACCAACTTCTGATCCATGGATGCCATCAGGTTTGCTTTTAGTTTTACATTTTCTTTTTAAAATCAGAGGCGTCCAGGAGTCTTAATCACAGTAGATGTTCACTGGGTATTGGTTGAATGAGTGAGGGCCTTGGTCTTTGAGAGCATTGGCAAAGACTGGTTAGCTAGTGACGATGGTGCAAGAAGACCAACGACCAAGAGTTGACTTTTGCGTGCCTCCCTTTAAAGTCAAATTAAAGTTTACTTCCTTTAGCTCTGATACACCTGCGCTGGATTAATGGGCTTTACCCAATCGATCCTTTCTCAAGCAGCAGATATGGGAGGTAGATTGATGTCTCTTCTGGCAAATGTGTCTAGTGGGTGGAGCTCTAGCTGAGGAATCCCAATAACAAAGTGTCCATCACAAACAGGAGACCTTGGGAGGTCTTGTCTGGCGCCTGGGGAATCTGGGAGGACACCAGTGACCTTGAAAGCTTTCTGATAAAATGGTGGTGCTCACATGTTGACACTTCTTCCGCTGCAGAAGTGCCCAGTAAATTTTCTGAAGGGTGTGAGAAACATTTGGTCCACGGAACACCAGCAAGAATTCTGCTTCTCGTTTGGCAGGAAGAGTAGGAGGACAGTGACTCATAGACTCTACTCAGGTGGAAGCTTGATCATTCCAACGGGCGCCATTTTTAGGCTGAGGTGTTGGACTGCAATTTTACAATTTTAGATTTGCAGATTCACTTGACAAACGGGGTGATGAGTGTGCCCCATTCAGGATTCAGACCATAAGACATGTCTTTCTGATTTGGATTTCAGAGAAAATGCAGGTTTTATACTTTTTCATGGCTATGAAGTTCTTCATTGATGCATCTAAATGTAGCAATATTTACACTTAGTAATCTTGGGAAGGCAGCTTTTAAGCATGAAACGGGGTTTAACGTTGTTCTCACTTAGTTAAGCTTTACCAGTTATGATGCCCACCGCGTTCCTGCCGTCTGCATCCCATGTTTACCTCCTATAACTCCAGGGAAAGCGTCACTGAGCCCCTTGGCCCTGTGGCTTTAGTGGACTCCAAAATCTTCCTAGCTCTGGGTGGCTTCCCCACGCTGATGGTCTTCCGTCCTGTCTCTCTTTTTCTCTTGTCCGTATGTGATTTGAATGTTACTTGTGATGCAGTCACTGGTACCTTAGTTGTTTTCTAGATTCTAGTCCCTGCTTCATTCTTGTCAGTGATGGGGGAGGTGGGGGAGGCCAGCATAGCAGACCCTCGGGGGAGATGTCTTTTCCGAGGGGCTTGTCATCCTGAAGTCGTTTGGTCCTCACCTGCCGTCTCCCTGGAGAACCAGCCTGTGTGCGGAGAGGCTGGGGGTGGCTGAGGGGGCGGGGTATTGGGGATGGGATGGGAGAACTCAGATTTAGCCCTGGGAGATTTCTCCACAAGAGCGCACTCAGGTTTCCTTCGTGTATTATCTTCTAATTTGCTGAATGTTCTATGATTTTCCACTGTAGGTAGTCGGTTTCATTTTGTGGTCCTTTAGACTTAAGCCTAATTTCGAAGCATTGACTGCACAGGAGCCCCCGTGATGCAGGACTGTCCTCAGCCTCCGCGAGTGCTGTTTCCGTCACCAGATGGCCCACCTCCCTCCATAAAGGAGGGGAAGGAGGGGTTTCTTGTTACCGTCTTGTCCTTTTCTCCTTTGCGATGTCCCAGGGCACCGTCTCAGACCAAGGTGTCCAGGCTTCCAATACAGAAAGGACGGGTTTCTAGCAAAGGCCGTGACACAGGTGGTAACACATATCAAAGACCAGCTACGTCCCGGAACAATCAGTCCAGTCACGGAAGCAACAGCAGCGAAGTGACCTTGCAGGGGTTTGGCCTTTGAAGGCCCTCTGTCTTTGGAAGACTGAAGTGGGGCATTTAAATGTTCTGTTTGAATTTGTTCTACTTCTGTTGATGAGCGGAATGCTTGGTGATTACTGTGAGGCCTTTGCCACTTAAGATCCCTGAGTGTTGTATCTTCTGTTGCTTGTGTCAGTTCCATCTGGCTTCTGATGGTTACACAGGGTGTTTCCTCAACATTCAGTCCCAGCCAGGGTGCACGTCAGGGCTGGGACACGTGGGTGGTTTGGGTGCAGCGAGTCTGGCTCCTCTCCCCTCTCCTCTGACGATGCCTGTGGCCAGGGGTCCAGATAAGACTTCCGGGAAGTGACGGTTCCCCCATCAGACTCAATGTTTTACCGTAATGTAGAACCTCAGATACTTGCATACTTTTTCCTGCTATTTATTAAACAAACTTAGTCATCAAAAAATTTCTTTGAGCCCTAGTGTAAACATGATTACTGTGGGAGATGAAGGATGATGAGCGATTCTTTCTAGGAACTTAATCCGTTTAAGGGAGAGAATTACAAAAATACGATTAGTGAGCAATCTAAAAGTGCATACAATTAAGCGTGGTATAGACCGGAAGTATTGTCAGAGCAGTCGTCTTACTGGAAGCCCAGTGTGATGCAGAGGACATGGACCTGTGCCCAGCTGACCTGTCTGCCCAAAAGGGAGAAGTTAAACTCTCGATGAAATATCACTGTTAGAGGTAAGGAGATACCATCTCACAAGCTTGCAGACACTATCCTCAGGTGCAGATCTTAAGACGGAGTTTCTGGTATGTATATACAGCTGTGAGTTTTAAATACAGCTTAGTTTCAGGGTTTTCTCCTCTTCCTCCTCCTCTTTTTTCGTTAGTATGTGTGGAATGATCTATTCCTTTCAGTAACAAGTTCCAATGCTGGCCCTCTCCCATTCAAACAGAAATGACTTTCATCGATTTCCAGGGTCAGTGCACCTTGAACGGAGATACAACCAAAGCTTCACAAGGGTTAATTTTGAAGAGCCTTTACCAGAAATGTTGTTGAATTTGTTCTTGCGTGGGTGTTTGTGTCTGGTCTTGCGTGTGCGGGCAGGCTGGTTTTGTGATGCCTCAGGGGGTTGGCAGACAATGTTTTGCTGGTCACATCTGGCCAGCTGCCCATTTTTGTGTGGCTTGCAAGCTAAGAATGGTTTTTACATTTTTTAGATGGTTTTGAAAATTCGAAATAATACCACTATTTTGTGACACATGGAATTCACATTGCAGTGTCCATAGACAAAGTTTTACTGGCTCACAGCCGTGGCCACTTGTTAAATATTTGGTTTCAAGCTGACCAATCTGAGTCATTGGAACAGAGGCTGCAGGGTTCACAAAGCCTAGACGCGCCTGTCTGGTCCCTTACAGGACCATTTTGGCGTCAGCTTCTAATTGTTGCTTTGGACCCGTGGCTTATGTTATAGTGGTTTTCTGTATTCATATTATAACTGTTAACGAAGAGTATTTCACATTCTCTTTCACCTTCAGACTGTATATTTTCCAAACATTGGGCTAGTAAAATCAGTAAGGAAAAAAAAAAACATGATGAGTAGGAATTTTCTCTTTCCCGTGAATTTGCTGTCTATTGGAAAGCATGGTGATTGCCTTTATCTTTTCATGCCAAAGTCCTTGCGGGCCTGTGGTCATTCTAATAAGCAATTAATCCATCAAGATGAATTTAAAAATTAAAACAGCAAGAGACTAAAATCTTTACTCTGATATTTAAATTTACGGTAATTAAATTTTTACTTTTTCCTGTGTCTTTTTTTTGAAAATGATGCTTCAGTGTGCAGGGTTTGTTTCTCTGTATCTTCATGTGGAAAGTTATTTTTAGCCACGTTTTAAAACATTTAAGTACAATCTGGAGCTTTATACAAGCTGACTTGATAACTGCTCTGAAGCTGTGACGTTGGCGATGGAAATACGTATTTAGGATAAATAAATACCAGATGCCATATAAATTTTTTTATTTGAAGCCAACAGTTATGTTGTGGTAGATGTGACTTTTGAAGCTAGCACGGAACCACACAGTTTTCCTGATGGTAAAATCTCCACACGTGGTTTGTCTGTCACAGGGAAGCATGTGGTTAATTTCCTATGCATTGATCTCCATTAGCAACGGGAAGCTCCTTGAACTTTACCATAAGGGTTATGCTCTGAGCACAGAGCATATTTATTAATTAAATAACCAAACAATAACTTGGTACATTTTGATAGCTCCATTACATTCCATCACTTTGTACACTGCAGTGCCTTGTATGATCATCAGTGTAGACTAAGAAGTATTAATTAAGAAGTGTCTTGTGATGCAGACACATCAGCACAGTTTGACAATGGTTGATGTCTTTCTATTTCATTAAAAGTATAGTGTTTGGGCCTGAGTGCTCCAGTTCTACAACTTGGGTATTTAATAATATGTTCCATATCGTATGTATTAGAAATTGAGATCCTGTTTTAAAAAAAAAAACAATAAATCCATCTATAGTGTTAAAAATGTAAAAGTAGTTTACAACCATAGCCATTCGATACTCATGAAATTGACATTTATTTATGCTGCACGTAGTCCACTGAAGATATCATTACCTCTAATGAGGCTGTAATAAAGTAAATTGGGTCCTAGTGCTGGGAAAATGTAATACTCACCAGGCTTTCCCAGGTTGCACAGTGTGCATCCTGGGCAACCTCACTTGGCCTTCACATCTCAATGTTAGGTGCTGCAAGTTGGGAATGGCAGAGTTGCTAATCTTCATGGAGACACCATGACTAAGGATTGAGTCATTTCCGGGGGTGCCCACGTGAAAGGCAGAGAAAGTGATATGCGAGATGGAGGAACGATGTGGACTCTTTGTGCAATGACCCAGAAAATAGAAAAAAATAAAATAAAAACATTGCATACGTTTGCTTTGGGAAAGATGACAAATTGACAGACAAAGGAATTGAAGTTTCCTCTTGGGGTACATTCAGCAGGGATATTTTCCTCCTGATAGGGGAGACTTCCCTATTTATTCACACTCGAGGGCTCATACAGGGCTGAGTGAGTGATGAACAACTGAAGACTTCAGGCTTGAAAAGACATTTTTCCTCCCTAAGTTTCAGTGTGAATCTAGTCAGTAATATTTTTGGCACAGAACATTCACACAG